ACCTGGCCGTTCAGACACAGGTCACATTTGAAAAGATCGGATTCAGGATCACATAGCCAAGCGGCCCTGGTCGACTTGGAAAAAATCAGATCCGAGTTGTTCAGACTGTCATGAAGGGATCAGATCCAGGTCGCATATGGGCCAAAAAAATCGGATTTGGGTCACTTCAGGCTGCAGTGTGAACATAGCCTAAGACACATTTCTCCTGCTTCTAATATAAGCAAATGTGCGAGGAATTGATGAAACTTATGCTTTAATGAACAAAGGTAAATTTATGCAAAAAAATAAAAATAAATACATCTTTATGAAATGTAACTATAATACAGCATAACAGGAAGTTCAGTTAAAGGCCCCTCGGTCCACGTATGGATAAGCCAGGAACTCTCCCAGTTTGATGCCCTGCTCATCATAATGAAGCATCCGGAAGCATTTGTCACAGAAGATACATGGATCACTGGGAGCAAACTGGTCGCCGATGGTGTACCATCTAACAAAATAAAAAGGAGGACAACGTTAGAAGCAATTCAGGGAGATCCAGATTTAGGCTTCATGATTACACACCTGCCGATGAAGACGTGGCAAACGGCACATTTCTGGGTGACCGCCCTGTTCTTGTGCGTGAGGAGCGGATACAGCCTCTTATCCAAGCAGTCGCCCTGGTGGACCAGTCTGCAGAGGAAATCAGATGGAATTAGTCTCGCATTGGTGACGCCTGGAGCCCATCTTCATGTGGTTTCCTCTCTTACGCAAACTATACATCAGCTTTTTGACATTTTAGCCTCCATTCATTTCTTTTTTTTTTGCCACATTGCAACAGCAAATTTTATGTACTTTGTGTTTTTAAGCAACTGACACCAAGCAATACATAGTGGACAGAAGATATTACAGCTAATTATTTTTAGAAGGTTTGTAGTTTAGCGATTAGTTAATCCAGAGTGAAGTTAGTTTCATTATTGTTGCAAAAAACATATTTTGGAATTGAAATTAGACAGAAAATGGAATCAAAAAATGAAACTGAAAACCTTCTGAATCAAAAAAGGTTTTGAGAGTAAATTTGCTCCGATTTCTTTTTTTTATTTAAAATATTTTACAATTTTTCTTTTCTTTTTTTGACATTTTTTCTTTCTTTTTTTTTCTTTCTTTTTTTTTTTTTCTTTTTTTTACAATTTTATATTTTCAAATTTGTTTTTGAAAAGTCTTTTTTAATATTGTGTTTTTCCAATGTTTTATATATCACATTCTCTTCACTTTTGGGGCGGTTTTCCCTCTGGGATGAGGAGAGAAGATGCATTTCTATTGGTCGGTTGGATGTTAGCAACAACATTTTATTGGTCGAGAGAAAAAGCATTTGTTTGGACCTAAAGAAGTCCTCTGTGAAACAGAATTGGAAAAGAATGCAATTCATAAATCTCAATCTGTAAAACAGAAAACAAAAAAAAGAGAAAATATGAAATCTAAAAAAATTATGGAAAAAAAAACAAATAAAAAATGAAAATTTTGGAAAATATAAACTACCGGTATGTTTGTAAAATTTGTAAATAAATGTACGTAAAAAAAATTTAGATTAAAACCTTTTTTTTTTTTTTTTTTTCAAAGTTTTATTTTTGGTTTGCAAATTGGTTTTTCCAAAATGTGTTCCTAACTTGCAAAAATAATGGACCAAATTTCACTCCATAGTTATAATATACCTTATTCTTATTAAGTGTTATAAACACATTATTTTGTTTGTTGCATCAGAAACCATGGATGGAGCTGTAATCTAACTGTGATGTTCCTGCTGAACATGTTTGGTTTCACCGTTCCTCTAAAAATGAATATCATAAAATGTTTCAAGTGTCTTTGCTGCGCCTGCTAAACTGTAGCTCAGACTGATATTTAATGAATGATCAAATGTAAGGTGTTATAAATAAAAATGCTTCTTTGAAATGAATGAGTTGTGACAAAGGCTGAACCATTTTGCCAAAAATCTAAATTGTGATTATTTTATTTAGATTTTCCTTTCACTAACCCCAAGCTTGTAGATGTTTAACCCCAGACTTCGGGTTTTTGAAAGCTTGTTTGCCCAGAGTCCAGTGTTACAGAACTTTACTGTAACCATTGTGTGAAAAAGTGTTTATTTCTACTTGCATGCATGAATCTGCTGCTAGCTGCTACTCTCTCTGCCTTTCCCTGCAGCCAAAACCCCACTTCAAGCTTTTAATCACAACCTAACAGGCTGGAGGGAGAAATTTTGTGTCTTACTCTTGTTATTTATAATGTGAATAAAAGTCACTGCTTCTGCCATTTGAAAATTACATTTTGTTAAATTGCAATTATATTGCAAGTGCAATTAATTGCCCAGCCCTGGTTATGACGTTACTTATCTTTACTTTCATTTTCAAAGAGCCCAAACTCGACGTGCAACTAATGATTATTTAGCAAATCGATTCATCTGTTGATTATTTTTTCGAATAATTGATTAATAATCGGATAGCCAAAAGGTTCCTTAATGGAATTTTTTTACGAAATTAAATCAGGTGAAACAAACTTTTCCACTTGAGGAGTTCCGAATTAGCATTTTGACAGACGAAAACATTATTTTTTAATAAAATGCTAAATTTTTGCCTATATTTTTGCAATTTTGGGATAATTACCGCTCTAAGTGGGTCAGTCTGACAGCTAAATGTATGTTTTAGAGTCTCTATACTACAGTTAACAATCAATTACTAAATTAGGGGACAATTATTTCAATAATAGATTTTTCACAATTAACCTGATTAATTGTCTGAGCCCTATTATCAACAGTTGCTCTGTACTCAAGTAGCCATAGTGCCAAATACTGTGTTTATTTTTACCGATACTTTAGTAAAACTACATCAAAATAAAGCTGTTCTCCTCCTACTAAAGGTTTTGGCTTTTCCATCCCCTCTGTACGCTTTTCAGATCTACAGTTTATCTAAATAATGGAAAAATGATCCTGTTCACGAAAGGATTTGCTAAATTCTGTACTAAATTGAGTTGCTCCATCATAATATCAAAATCAGTTTGTTTGTGGTTAAAATGGCTGATTTCATACAGTCCTCTATGCTTCAGTCCAATGGAAGCAGGGAACAGTCAAAGGCTCCTATTGTTCAGAGAGACGGTGAGAAAACATGGACAGAAACTAACCCGGACCTTTGCTAACAAGAACCGTCTCAGTGCAGAGTTCATTAAGCCGTGGAGGCTGGTTTGAGGTGGAGTCAGCTCTTTCCATGGAAACTCACAGGCTGACATAAAGGACCTCATTCACCAAGCCATGCCAAAACCTTAGTGACGTCAAACTTATTTTTACTTCTTCTTTTTTTTTTTTTTTTTTTTTTATCAATGCGCAAGTTATTCAATTTTTAAAAATTAGGCCCAAAATCTTTTGCCATTCAATGAACTTTCTCATTCAAAACGACTATTAAATGATGTTTAGAAAGTAAAAAAAAAAGCAACAGAGCAAAAAGGCTTTCATAAATTAGAGCGGATGATAGTTTGGGTTTGGTATCTTCTTCTTTCATCATCCCCAAAGCACTTCAAGTCACGTGACGTGAGTTAGACGCCGCAAGCTGTACGGCGGCACCACAGAATGAAAACACTGACCTGATGTCTGTGATGATGACCAGGTGTTCGCAGTCTCCTTGGTGACAGTAGAGGTACGGGTATCCCAACTTCACCTTCAGATCCACCCAACGCGTGTCCTCCATCTTGGCCTGGCTGAACGGCGGGTAGTTGTTGGATTTTGACCACTCGATGGTCGTCCTGGATTCAAGCGACAAAGACATAAATCAAAGAATCAAAGAACTGCTTTCACTGCAGATTCAGCTCCAGTGTTGGTCGAGGTAAAGTTTGTGTTTGAGGTCTTTTTCCTGCAGGAACGGAACAGATGAAGCACTAAAATCAACAACGTAGAAGAGGAGCAAGTTATTATTGATTCTATATACGCTGAATAAACAACCATGAGTATGTTTATATCAAAGAAAGCAAAGCAGCTGGTTTAACAGAGATTATTGGCGGCACATTCCTACTGTTCCCTATTTTTAGCCGACCTCAGCTACCATGAGGAGATATGGGACAATAATTACGCCGTAATTACATAACAGCCATTATTTAAACTGCAAAAAATAACTATAAATAAGGCAATGTCCAAGCAATAAACTGTTTATATTTAATTTTTATTATTATTTAAAACTAAAAATTTAAAATAAAATAAAAAATACAATACAAAAAAGAAATAAAATGTATGAAATGAAGTTTGCAAATGGAAAATAAAATATTTTTTTTTTTCATATAAAAAAGTTTTTGAGAGTAACTTTGCTGTCACCTCAGATTCAGTTATGTTATTTTCAACAAAAGTTGAATTCAAGTTAATTTTTTATATTTTTAATTTTATTCTTTTAAAAAAAAAGAATGATTTTATATTTCCTGGGGGGGTTTTTTGGGTTGAGTTTTAAAACGGTTTGTAAATTGTGTTTTATAAAATCCCAGTATTCAGTAGAAATNTTAACGCCAACCCCTGATGTGCATTTTTTTTTAAGTGGAAAGGGCGGGTCTTCACGAAAAAACCTCAACAATACTTTTAAACGCACTTCCAATATTCACCACCGTTCGGCCCTAATCACTATTTAGTGGTTACCCCATTTTAAGTGAGTGGGAGAGCTCTCCTCCCAAAGCATTATGGGATTTGCTGTCACACCAGGCTGTCACTAGCCGACAGCGCGACTAATAACAAAGATGGCGCCGGCACCGCGTATCTTCCAATCCGAACAGTCCGCGGCGCCGCGCTACGATGAATCTAGCCTTCGGAGGATGCCGGAACAGAATTGTAACTGAGCAGGCGTGCTCTAGCTGCTGGCTGGGCATCAATGGAGCGGAACCAGCAGGATCCACAGACATGAAAGATTAGCATGTAAACATGATCATGTTCACCACTAAGTCACTTTTCACTTTTTATTATAAGAATTTTTTTTAGATTCAGGTTGTGGTTCCGTTTGTCTCAAACTAAAACGGTTTTAATTGGGTTTTCGTTCTTGTTCTGTTAAAGTTGTAGCATCATTATAAACATATCTGTCCTGGTGAAAATTCTCAGTCAGTTTTTTCATTTTATTTATTTTGCTGCGGCTATTCGTTAGCTTACAGCCCGCCAAATGTTGAAGGGACAATATTATTGCTGTTATTGTTAATATATAGTAGAAATTTACACATTCAGTAATAAAATGTCACTTTGGATGGTCGTTTAAGAAGCCAGATGATATTTAAGATTTGTTTAAGAACGGGGGAAGCCATCCCCCATTATCCCCCTTCAACTTTAGAATGGGGGGGGGGGGTCGTATAAAGGAACCAAATGACCCCCACTCCAAAGGGGGGGACCCATTCATCCGTTTCTATTTGCATGTTTTCTAAACTAAAACCAGGTTTTGTTGGGCTGCTGGATAAAACCTGGAACTAAACGCTATTTCTGACATTTGGAATTGAAAAATCTTCCTGGATGGAAGAGAAACGTCTTCAAACTCGGAAACAAAGTCCAGAGGATTGATTTTAAACTTTTTTGGAGAAAAAAAAATATCTATGGCTTTCAGTTATATTTAGCTCTATGGAATATTTAAAGTATTTACTGCAAATGATCTGAACGTGCAAAAACCTTAAAGTTATGCTTTAATGATTAAAGAGATTAATTTAGCCAATTCCTGATTGATGCAATTCTTTGATTTCTTTTGTATACAGGCGGTTATTAAACATAACAGAGAACAAGCAAATAAGAATGAAGTGGAAAACATGAGCTGGGTTTATAGAAAGGTCACTTCAGCAGAAAACTGAGCTGAATTTTAAGTCTCCTGCATCAACAGGAGCTGTTCTCATTACTGCTGCTAAAACAGCATCAAGCTGAGCTCCTTATGCGTCTCTCAGCCAGTCCGAGGAGATTTTTGTGATGTAATGAAGCAACTAATCCTCACTGAAGAGTCCTGAACTATTTTAATTTAACCTTTAACTTCTATGTTGGCCCGCTGTTTCTCTGCAAACCCTTCAGTAAGTCCACTTCCTCTGTTTGTTTGGTCCAGTGAGAGCTGCAGAGCCCACAGAGAGCGCCTTGTGGAAAACGAGAGGAGAATCTCATCATGACAAACAAAATAGATTTCTGTTTATTTTTCACCTCTATATTCTATACGGTAGAGGATTAGGGCCACTGAAAAAAAAGAGTTAACTGATTTTTTTTTAATTTTATTTCAGTGTAACATGGGAAAAAAGTCAGAATTCTGAGAAAAAAGTCAGAATTCTGACTTTTTTCCCATGTTACACTGAAATAAAATTTAAAAATCAGTTAAGTTTTTTTTTTTTCAGTGGCCCTAATCCTCTTCCGTAAATGCGTCTTCTCTCCTCGCCCCAGAGGAAAGCCCGCCCCAGGAAGTGAAGCAATCTGCAAAATGCGATTTGAAAAGAATGACATTCCTAAAACTCACTATAAAAACAGAAATAAAAAAAATAGTGAAAATATTAGATTCTTTTAAAAAATATGAAAAATACATACAAAATGATTTTAAAAAGAAACAAAATCTGACGAAACAGCAAAGTTACTCTCAAACATCTCATTTATTAAAGGTTTTTCATGGTTTTATTTCTCAATTGCATTTTTTTTTTCCTTAAATAATAATAATGGAACAAATTGTTCTCTATAAATTCACTGCTTTGATGTAGGATCTAATAATATAACTATATACTGAGAAGAGATTCTAAAGGTGCTGTTGTTAGAGAAGGTTTTAATAAAAACCTCCTTTCAACAGTTATCAATCCTTGTATCAATATCACTGTATTTGTATTTACATGTTAATGTATTTATGTTCAACACACTGTGAAAATAAAGAAAAAGAAAAACCTGAAAGGAATGCGAATCCGGTCAGGTCATAAGTTATACCAACAGTCACGAGGCCTCCACCAAACCAGTCCCCATTCATCCTCCTAATTAGCTCTACATTCTGCCCTTTGGGGACGAGATGACTGGATTCCTAAGAGAAACATCCACAAGGACCTGAACACGTCGTACCTACTCTCAGACAAGCCAAGCATGTTTTTCTTTAGATTTTATTTATTAAGGGAATTCCAAGTTTTTTGACCTGAAACACAGACTGAGCCCCAAAAGACCA